TCTCTCTCTCTCTCTCTCTCTCTATATATATATATATATATATATATATATATATATATATAACTATATAACTGCTAATGAATGAATATGTAGTTTAGATTCTAACCTTGTTATAAAAGTTCCGTTTTCCTAAATTTGGGAAAATTTAATATATTTATCTCAAGTTTTGAGCTGAAATACTAACATTACGTATATTTCGTAAGACATCCACAAACTTTATCAATTAAATACGAATGCAATATCTCTTAAATTAAATTAATGGTAAAACCAAAACATAAAAAATCATAAGTATCAATCTCATAATGATTTCTAATAAATAAAAGTATAATTGATGCAGGCTTTGACGTGAAATACCGAACCTTGTTGTTTATGAAGGCCCAAGATGAAAAAGGGTGTCACGCTTAAACGTGTAAAACTTTTGCTATAAAACTCTGTTTCAGACTAATGACCAGTTAAATCGAAGATTAGAACAAAGAATAGGGCCTACCTGACTTTTGAAGCCTAAAAACACTATTTAATCATGTTTTTTTTTTCCTAAACAATTTCTTATTTTTGCTCTTTTTTGCATTTTCGTTTGGGCTTTTACGTTCAACCCAATTGTTTTTAGGCCCGTTTCATTTTTGGTCTTCCTTTTTACATGTATCTTGTGTGATTTGGATTATCACAATTGGAATTCAGAAACTTTGATTTTCTTCCCAAATTTTAAGATTAAGTGAATTCGAATTTGAAGTCTAAGATTCGGTATTCGTCGAATCAACGAACCTCAGAAGATATTGTCAACGTGTATTCATAGAATCAACGTGTTTAATCTTTTGTTTGATCTAATCTGCTACATCAACAATATATATTTGTTTCACATGTACTTCTTTTTGGCGTACTTATGAAACAAAAAATGCATGTAAATTTTTATTTGAACCTCCGTGGTCACAAGGGGATTTTTATTCCTCATTGGATTTGAAACTGAGACCTCCTGATACTTTTGATCTTTGAAGCCAAACTCAAACTAATCAGACACCCTCCTTGTGGTTACATTTTTTTATTCTTCATATATTGTGTATAAACTAATTATAACCAGTACACAAAATTTTATACTATGTACCATGCAACTATAGTTGGTACCAACTAAATTGGTATCAGCTTTTGTTCGGTTGGTATGTTGATACGACTTTGTACCAACATTAAAAACATTTAAGTTACAAATTTATTTATATTGATGTCGAGCATTTATGTGTTATACCACTTGCCACTATCTACAATTCTACACAAACATTCAGATAACCTTCATATGATATAAGCATTCATTAATAGACTAATAGAAGTGGCCATTAAGGAGAGATAATGGACAATGCAGATGTTGACGAGTAACTAAGGTTGTTACTGTTAGACGAATAAATTCAACAATATTTCGTATATTCATCTATATTATAATTTAGTAAAATTAGTAAAGAAAGATAATTAAAAATTCAAAAATCAGAAGATATATTTTATTTTTGATTAAATTTTAATTAATAAATAATATTACGCAAAAATCAAATTTAAATAGTTGATATGGTATTGTCAACCAATTAGATTGGTACCAACTAAATTAATTAGATTGATATAACAATTAGGGGTTGTTTGGTAGTTGTTGAATGATTTAGTGCAAAATGATTAAGAGACTTTCATGATATAATGCAAAATGAAATATAATTGTTCGATAATTGTTTACAATGAAATCGGGGAGCTTAATGGTTAAGATATGCTCATGATACAAAATCATTCATAAGATTTTAGAACCATTAACAGATAATTTTTTTTATCAAACAAGAATTCACTTCTTAATGATTCAGATTTTGTCTTTTAATGAGATTATTAAAAGATAAACAAAGAACCATTCAATATCTTTACATAAATTTGAGAACCCTAACTTTTTTTCTCTTAAAAAGGAAAGAAATAACAAGGTTTTTAGGGGCGGGGGAGAGATATTTCCCAAAATATCCTTTGGGAAATACTAAAAGAATATATAAAAAAACCTGATTATTAGGAGGAAAAAGAAAAGTAAAAATGAAAGGAAAAAATATCACCACAAAACCCAAAACCCTACTCCTGTAAACCTCTCACACGCTTCGTTCATTTCCAACTCTCACTCACACAGGGCGAGAGTGAAAGCTCTAATCTATGTAAAATCACCATGAATTTGAAGGCGCCATTAACGAATTAGGCCTTTTCTTGCTCTTCTTATTTGTAATTTGGTGATATGTCGAACAAGCGAGCTCCTGGTAAGCAGCAAATTCCTCGGAAGAAATGCAATGAAAGGAATATTAAGGTTGCCGCCAATTCGACTGTTTCTAAGAAGAGAAAGCAGCCGCAACACCTGAATTCGGAATCATCTTTACGATTACAGGATGATTTGTTATCTCCTGATTTTATTTTGAGGAAAGTGTTCAGGAAAGACGGGCCTCCCCTCGGTGTGGAGTTTGATAATCTTCCTTCTCATGCTTTTCGATTCTGTAATGTTAAAGGTGATTACAATCATTTTCTCAATCGTTTTTTTTTAATGTGAAGTTGGAGTAATTATAGGTGTCGGAATGTTAATTTCTGTGCTTCACTTGATGTTTCCTGGATTCGATTTGAGCCGAAACGTATGAAGCCTTTAGTTATTCCAGAGATGCCGTTAGTGATTACTTTCCGCACGTGTTTCTAATTCTTTTTTGTATTTCGCAATTACTATATTGATACTGTGGCTTTCGAAATTTGTCATCAACACTGTTGCTTTGATTGAGTGGTACAGCGGTAGTGCAACGTTGTCTGAACTATGCGCTATGATTTAATTGTGAATTTGAATTTCTTTTTTCTGTCTCCCACTTGATGTTCTTGGTTAGTCTTCCTATCATAAGGTTGATATCTTGTTCTTACTTCTGTTTTTTTTTTGTTTCTTTTGTTTTTGTCTTCTGGTTTGCTGATAGGGAGGGTGGTTTATAGATGGATTTAGGTATTAGGTTGAAGCAACTTCATAATGGAAAGCTTATTTGGTCTTACAACTTGTAACTTTGCAAGTTATATTAGGAATTAGTAGCAGTTATGGATGATATTTTTGAAACTCTTGTCATGGCTGTCTAGGATACTGATTATGATGGATGTACATGTTCAACTTTTATTTACTATGTTGCATAACACAAGAGAACCAGCCTTCTGGAAGTTAAGGTCTGTTCAAATAGGAAGACAGTGCTTGTGTTTGTGAAATGGAGAAAACTGGAAGGAAATGAATATAGAGAGGAGATAGATTCTCTCCGTATTCTTATGTAGCTGAGAAGCTTAACCGTTCGATCATAACCAGATGCTTCATCACTTTGAAACCAAAAACCAAATAACCTAATAAGCTTGAAACATTGTAAAATGTAGAAGTAAATGCATATGGGTTTGCAAACGAATGATTCTTGTTTTGGATGTTGAATAGAAATTCTCATAAAACTTGCTTATATTGCCAAAGGAATTATTATTATATATGATGAAGTTCATAAAATTTTAATTATGTTGCAGAGAAAAAGGTAAAATTAGCCAGGTTTTGTGTTTTGAAGACATGAACAAAGAGGAAATCTTAGTGTGCGTGAGAGAGAGTTATAGACTCATCAACATTAAAGGTTTCATGTTAAATACTGAATTTAAACAAAGGTCTGCCTACATCCCCCACCTACCTCTGCGTGGGATTTACCGGTTTGGTTTGGTATGGTAATTGCTGAATTTCTAGTTGTTGGATTAGAGAATTAGTGGCTTTCAGAGGCTTAAGGATTTTATGTATACAACAAATACTTGAGTGTTATCTCATTAGATGCAACATCTACTTCACTTTACCTTCTTCTTGCCCCCTATCATTGTTGTATGTGTGATACACGATTTGTATTTATGTGTTTTGCTTGCCCTTCCATGCTGCACTGCAAGGTCACTAAGGTGGTGAAAAATAGAGCAAGGGACCTCTAGTCCCTCCAAGATTTTCTTGCCACCTAAAAACAAGTAGTAAGAGGACCTTACTGAATGCAGTAAAATATTTGAAATGAGACCTCTCAAAGTCCATAATCCCCTTCCCTATAATAATGGAGTCATAATAGTAAAATAACACTTCATCCTTTTTCCTCTTTTGCCCCCTCGAGGGGAAGGCAAGAAAGCTTTCAAATTCATCAGGAATTGCTGAAGCTTATGCTATCTGGAATTTTTCGAACTTGGCATTTCCCCTTTACTTTCTACCTAGTCAAGCAGGAACTAACTTGTGTTATTATTTATTTTTTCACTGGGTTTGTTTGGTTTTACTGTGTGGGTTAAGTTCTTCCGTACGTGTAATTGTAAAATCTTCTATTCTTGCTAGATTCAGGGATCTCTCATCGCCCTTGCCAAGAAAAACAAAGAGCACTTAAAAGACAAAAGGTACAGAGGGTATATCTCTTTTGCTTGGTTGGTATGATGTATGTCAAACCATCTTTTTTTGTAGTTGTGATCTATTGATGCTATTTTTTTATTACCATTATATAGACTTCCAAGCCTACCAATGTTGAGGACCAGATAATCGCGCCAGATAGTGCTCCAGTTAAACATGGTAGGGGAAAAGGTTTGATGACGGTATGGCGACTTACAAACGAGGAGAGTAATGCTGTGAAGAAACATGGTATTGGAAAAGGTTTGATGACGATTCGGCAATTAACAAATCCTGGTGCTGGAAACCTTCCAACATGTGATGACAATGACCATGGAGCTTGTTCCCAGTTTCCAGCTTCTACATCACAAAAACCACCTGCTCAAGGGAAAAAGAAGTCGCGAAGACAACAACCTGTGCCGGTTTGTCTTCTTTTCAAGATATTGTTCTTGTTTCTATTCCTTTTTTCTCATCTTGTTGATGCCATTTGGCATTCTTACCAAATTAGAGACATTAAGTTGCAGTTTATTTGATCAAATTGAAAATCTATGGTTGCTTTTAGCATGATTACTCACAGTGATTTATTTGCAGAGGAGGTTAGCCAACAAATTACTAGATAAGAAGTCTTTAGCCAGAAGTAAAAAGGTAACTAAATGCATATTGAACTATCTGCTATATGGCTTGGGCGCTTGGCAATTATCATCTACTTATCATTTTCTTGTTAAAATTAGAAGGTGAGATGTGAACAAGTGGGTAAGGAAAAGCAACTGCAGAGGGAAATATGTGAAATTGCTCTGGTGGGAGGGAGAAGTGAAGAAGATCTAATCCAATATTCTATGCTAGTAGATGATGAGGAGCTGGAACTAAGAGAACTACATGAAGTATCAAATTCACAGGCATGCTGTGCTCATTGTTCAGCCAATAGGTTGCATGGTTGTTCCCTTTGCAAAGGTCTGGTTCGTTTAGATGCTCTCCCTTGGTGCTCCCCTTCCCCACCAAGCCATTTTTTTGGTAACCGTGCGGTTACATTTTATTTTTGCATTTTAAGTAATGCCTCAAATTTTATTTGGAGTTGAAATATTGGCATGTGTGCTTGATCAACCCTTGCAAAGTGAATTTTTGACTTCAATTTGGTTGTAGATTTGCTGGCAAAGTTCCCTCCAGACTCTGTCAGAATGAAGCAACCCTTGCATATGCAACCATGGGATTCTTCTCCACAACTTGTCAAAAAACTTTTTAAGGTACAAGTCAGGTCCAATTCTGATCTCCTTTTGCTTCACCTTATTACTTAAGATGTGTAGATGTTGCCTGAAGGAGCAGCATATATTGAAACTTGTTTCTCGGTACCAACTATGTTTAACTACCTCATAAGGAATTCACATCCTTGTACCAGTTTTGCTAGTTGTATTTGTTAAGGGTAACAAGCTTGAGGATTGCTTTCTCTGGATCTCTCTGCATGTGTAACTCTTTCAAATTTTCTCCATTTCCCCTTTCTGGATGAGTTGTTTGAGAGAAATGTTGACCTCTCTAGTTCCTACTATTTTTATTCTCAACGACTTAAGCCCTTGTTAAACAACATGGTAGCAAATATTAAATTGTATATCCATGTTCAATTAATGTAGGGTCAATTGATGTTGATGGTCCCTTTTGTTCCATAGTTGGTACCTATATTTCCTTTTTGGGATATTTCATAGTAAGGTATTTTCTCTAAATACGTTGAGTATTGAGAATTTTACTAATATATCCTGAGAATTATATTTATGATGACTAAATTCCGATACTTCCTATTACATTTTAATTTATTCGTTTTCCGAAATGTTCTTTGAGATGTATCCAACATTTGTTTTTATGTTTTAATTGGTTTTTGACTTCTATTTTTGTGCTCATTTATTCAAGATGCATAAAGTATATTTGAAAATTTTAGTAGCCGAATTGGATCAGTTACATATATTTTTTTTACTTAGATCATTTGAGGTCAAGTGATTTTAGTAGTCAAAGTCTTTTCTTTAATGTGTGTGCAAATTCAACATTACAACTAAAGACTCTTATGTGGAGCAGAGGGAGTGTTATTTGTTGTTGGAGGTGAGGCAGGAGACATCTGAACTGAACTTTTTGTTCCATGATCGATATTGATTTAACCAATTCTAAGCCTATACACAATAGAGAAACATTATCCCTTCCTAGAATCAGTTGCTGAGTTTGTGATGCTACCCTTAACTTTGCAATGCCTCCCATAATTCCTAATATTGGTTTAGCTCTCAACGAAGTTTTCTCATGGCGAGTTTCAAATGTAATAACATTTATGATTTTATGCTAGGATTGTTGTTGACTATCATTCCGAGCATGATCTAATCTTCTCCGGATGTTATGAGTTATAACTGAGTGATACATTCATTTAGCAAATTTACCAGCAAAAAAAGGGCTTGTGCTCTTCATTATTTTGATACACTCCTTACCATATGATGTTTTCATCATCGTTAGGTTGCTTTAATTGATTTGTTGAAAAGATATTGAAAATCAAAAGCAGGACATCAGTAACGGATTATTTTGGGCAACATAAATAGAAACTAGCTAGAAAAGCTAGTGAAGAAAGTGGCACTTTCACTTTTCTACCTAGAAACAACTACTGTAAATGAAGTTATGGATACTAAATAGTTTTCTAACTCTTGTTGGCAGATATTTCACTTTATTAGCACTTATGCTGTAATAATTGGTATCGAATCCTTCACGCTTGATGAGCTTGCGCAAGCATTTATTGACAAGGTTGGTGCTTATTTTCGATCCAAGTGTACATGCGTTATAATTTCTTGTCTAAATTGCTCAGGTTCATTTGATGACCCTATCAACTAAATGATCTTTGCTTTCTAGTAATGATTTATGTGTTGTTTTTGGCTATTGTTTTACAGGATTCTGTATTACTTGGGAAACTTAATTTATCCCTTCTGGAACTGCTTCTCACTGGTGTTGAGAAGGAACTTGGTAGTGGATTTGTGTCACATATGAGCAAAAACTGGAAGTATCGTGGGTTGCTTCAGTCAGTAAGTGTCACGTTCTTTTAGAGGCCGTAAGTGTCATATTCCATTGATGTGCATCACTTTGCTGGTTTTGGACTGTGCATTTCGTTTCGGGTGATTCTTGACCTTTTAATTCATTTAAAGAGTGATTTAATAATTTCAAATTTTTATTGCATTTGTTAGTTGTTCTGTTTCATGGGTAGAAGTTAACCTTAGTTGAAATATTATCGTACATGTTGGAATTCCACATTCCAAGCATTGGAATTGATGTAAACATTGAAGCTTGGTTTAAATATCGAACTTTGGCTTGATGAGAGAAATGGAAATTGTACGAGACCAGAAAGTGAAATGGTCAAATTATTTTCAACTTACTGCCCATGCTGTTTATGATTTCCTTGAGGCAGACACAGTGTTTTACTAATTTTTTTCTCTTGGCAGGTTGAACATCAAGACTCTGTTCTGAAATTGTGGAAGAGATCCTTGAATTCCTTAACATGGGTAGAGATATTACGCCAGGTGTTGGTTGCAGCTGGCTTTGGTTCGAAACGTGACACAACAACCAAGGAACCTGTTGACAAGGTAATGAATGTAAAAAAATTATTATGCTCCTGTTACGAAGGCCTAATGTGGAACATACTAGACCTTATACCTTTTCTACATTGGTGGGAGCTTTCTGCAGTTGACTTATTATTACCATTGTAGACATTAAGAAGTATGACTTTTGCATGCTGAGAAAGTTTTCTGGTTTCGGATTTTTGTGTTGTTGGCTGCAGCCAACTAGAAACTGCATCTATCCATACTGTCAGTAGTACAATAGGATTGTCAAAAGATGGAGCAAGTGGACAATATATGTGGGAGATATGTTCAACCGAGTTGAACTGTTGTTTTCCTGTGTAGTAGTTATTGGCCTCAAATGTATTGAAGAGAAATAAAGGATTGGACAACACACATCTACACAATGGGTTATTATTTTGTACAATATCTGTGTAAAGGCTTCCATCTTGTTACTTTATATAATTGTGTCCGAATGGCTCCCATTGCTCACATACAAAATTGATTTATTTGATTCACAGGAAGCTGCTTTGATGGGTAGTTATGGCTTAAGCCCAGGTACTCTGAAGGGTGAATTGTTCACTATATTGTTGTTGCAAGGGAATAGTGGGATGAAAATATCTGAATTGGCAACATGTTCATCTGTAAGTAACTTTGGACGTCCGATCTAGAAATTTAAGACCTGGTCACTGGCATCAGCATTTATGTCTTGTTGTCAATGAAGATTTTATCTAATAATTTCCTCTTTCTTCATGAAGATTGTTGGATTGAAGCTTGCAACTACGACTGTTGAAGTAGAGCAATTGATAAGCTCAATGCTGTCAAGTGATATCACCTTATTTGAGAAACTCTCTCCTTCTTCATATCGGCTTCGTAGTAACTCCATCATTAAGGACAGTGACGATGATCAATCTGATCTTGAAGACAGTGGAAGTGTGGACGATGATCCCAATGATATTAGCAATTATAACAATATGGATGATTTAGACGATGGTTCAGGGCCATCAATTGCAAGTAAACATGGACAAAAGAACCTTATTGAAAGCAAGGATAGCATGTTAACCGTCAACTCGGAAATTGATGAGAGCCATCCTGGAGAAATGTGGTTATTGGGTCTGATGGAAGGTGAGTTTTCAGATCTAAATATTGAAGAGAAGTTGAATGCTCTATTGGCATTGGTTGATCTACTGAGAGCTGGCTCCAGTACAAGAATGAAGGTAATCCAACCAATATAATTTTTAAGCCCCAATTTTCGGAACTATTGCTGACATACTGCATTTTTAAACGGATGTATTTTTACAAGCTGCATCCTTTTTGTGTTCAGTTTATTGACCTTGCTATGTTTGTGCCTTCCTTTTTGGCTCTTTTTCATAGTGTTATTTTCTGCATCATAAACCAGCTCCTGGGACATGTTGCTCCTTTCAGATTTTAGATATGGAAAATTGTACTTACTATATGTCATAGTGTTTTACTGATGTATATGTGTACCATCATGGTTAAAGTTTGTTCGCAAAAGACCTCTCGAGCTTAACTAGAACCCACGGAATCAAGCCATGATGTTCCACTGAGGAGTTCTTGGCTGTACCTTCTCTTCTGCAACTATGCAAATCCTGTGACCTCAACTATTCTATTGAGTAGATATCTAAATGTCCATATGTATCAAGTTCATCTAGAAATTCTCTTCTTAAGCTTAACTGTTTGAATCAGTCCATCATGTTTCACTGAGGAGTTTTTGGTTGTACCCTCTTTTGCAATTAAGAAAATTCACTTGCTTCCCTAGTCCTATTTTTGAGTAGATATGTAGGAATGACCTTATTTCTTTTCACACGTTTATGATTGATTGGAATGTATTCTGGATGGTATTATCAATATCACAATGACAAATGTAAAAATCTTTCAGGAACCTGTAAGATCGGCTGTTCAGTCCATTCCTAATGTTTGTCATATTGGTTCTGGAGCAAAAATAAAGAGATCAACAGCAAAGCAACAACGAATGTTCATGCCACTCGAGAACAACTGCAGCCAGATGATTAATAGTGGTGAATCAGACACGATACAAGATATCCAAACTGTTGATTCTGCAGCAATTATCTCTGTGATCCAAGAGAAAAGTTGCTCCAGTGGGCAAAAGAATGCAAGAGAAATAGAAGTTGTGCATGATTTACATCCTATGCAATCATTATTTTTGGGATCCGATCGTAGGTATAATAGATACTGGCTTTTCTTGGGCCCTTGTAACATGTGTGATCCGGGCCACAAGAGGATTTACTTTGAATCGTCTGAAGATGGTCACTGGGAGGTGATTGAAACAGAAGAGGTAACCATTCTCCCCTTGTTTTTATATAGCAGCACGAACTAAGAAGCAGGGGAACTCCTTCCCTTGTTAAGAAAAAGGGGAAAAGCACAAGGCAAAAGAAAAAGAACAAGACAATAAAATAAGAAACTAACTTAAGTTTTATAATTTACATAAAAAAAGAACAAGACAATAGAAGCTATTTTTTTAATACTTGGACTTTTGTATGTATTTATCTTACATTGGAAATATATGAATCATGAAATGACTTGTTTTTAATTAGTTTGGTCTTTAGATTTGCATACACACATGTACATGCATCCACGTATTCCGAACTTCTTAGCATCTTTGATCCTGGTATTCGCATATTATGTGCCTGCATCACCTTATTAGTATCCTTGTGAAATAGAGCACGAGTTGGTTCTTCGTCGATTCCATGAAAATTAGTGTTGATCATCGCTTCTGTATGCTTCTTTGATTGCAGGCTTTGGCCAACTTGTTATCAGCTTTGGACCGAAGGGGAAGACGAGAGTCCCGTCTTCTTTTTTCTTTGGAGAAACGGAATGCTCTTCTTTGTGAAGCTATGTCCAGTATGCCTAATGATGCTAGAAGTGGGCAACCGGCCCTTTCTTGTGAATCTGAAAGGAGTGTTTCCAGAGACGACAGCTCATCGGCTGTGTCTGATGTTGACAACTTGCTGGGCCTAAATTATGTGCATCATGACAATCTGGCTTCTACTAGTGCTGTAGTTACTTCAATTGGAAATAGAGAGCAGGCGAAACAGAAATGGTGTCGCCTTCAACAATATGATGCATGGTTATGGAATTCTTTTCATTCTACTCTTAATGTTGTTAAACATGGCAAAAGGTCTTTTTTTGATTCACTCACTAGGTGTGAAAGGTGTCATGATTTATTTTGGAGAGATGAGAAACACTGTCGGATTTGCCATACAACATTTGAGCTTGATTTTGATCTAGAAGAAAGATATGCCATTCATGCTGCCACATGTAGGGATGATTCAGCCCCAGATATGTTTCCCAAACATAAAATCTTGTCCTCACAGTTGCAATCCCTCAAGGCTGCAGCATACACACTTGAGGTGAGTCATACTTGTTCATCTCTTTACTTGATCAATCACACTTGTGCAGTTACCACACTGTGTTCTTGGCTTTGGATATCCCTTGGGGAGACATGAACAACAGACTGACAGCACTGTGGATATAGTCAATGTGGTCCTGATGATGTGTTGCATTTGTAACTTTTGAACAATTGAACAAAATGTTAAACATATATTGTGATATCAAGAAGATTGGGGAATTACTAAGAACTCTAGGAGTGTAAAAGGAGGCTAAAATAAAACAAGAACCACGTATCAGATAACCAACACCTTGTAATATGGATAGGGATAATTTTGAGTCTATCTGAGAATCTGAAAACTTTTTGCTCGACTTGAATTCATTTCATATGTTATTCTTGTCAAGCAACTAATCAATATGTTATTTTGGTCTGATATTTTCATTTTTATTCACTATATATGTAGTCATCCATGCCCGAGGGTGCAATGGTGGGTGCTTGGACAAAATCTACCCATAATGTATGGGTCAAGCGGTTAAGACGTACTGCTACTCTGGCGGAGTTGCTACAGGTACTGCTTTGTTGCTTCGACTCTCTTTCTTACATCCACATGCACAGAAGTGTTTTACGCAAACTCTCCAACTAATACTTGTGTCTTCTTAAATATGTTATAGGTTCTTGCTGATTTTGTTGGTGCCATCAATAAGGGATGGTCGTATCAAAGTGACACAGCTCTTGGGTTTGATTACGATTTGGATGACATCGTTGCAAGCTTTACATCTATGCCCCAAACATCATCTGCGGTTGCATTGTGGTTGGTAAAATTGGATTGCTTAATTGCTCCTCACATAAAAAAAGTTGGCCTTCAGAAGACAACTGGTGTATCTTCGAGAAGTACATCAAAAGGTATGTCCTTAACCAATCCTCTTCAATACCCATTGTAGATTCCGTGTTATTTATTGAATCTGAGTTGAACTTGATAATGTTTTCCCCTTACTACAGTGTATTTAATGATAGTGATTTGAGTTGGTTAATTTACATTTCAGGTAAAGATGCTCTAGTCCAGTAGATATTGTATGTGATTGGCAAGACTATATTTGAAACAATTGCATATACGCCAAATGAATTGTTTCTGAATCAGGGAGAGCATGAAATGATGATGCAGTCACCATAGTGCAGATTTGGTGATGGGTGAACAACTCGGAGAAAGCATCAATATAGGCAGTTAAGGGTGGGGTTCCATTTTTGGTGGGAGTTAGTTGAGATGATACATACATTCTTGTACAGGCAGTTATATGGTTGGTTAATTTTACAGCTTTTAGGAACAACAATCACGACTCTTTCCCATATTTCTTCATTCCTTATATAGATGTATGTGGTCTTCCATTGTAGTTTTCATGGGAATTGGAATAAAATGTTCGATAAAACTCAGATTGTTGTGGATGAAAAATCTGTTATGGTTGGACGCCTACAATTTCAGTTGCTTTTCACTGACCAAATCCAGCAAAAGTGGTGCAAAGTGATGCGGGAAATAAATCTCATCCGAGGCATCCTGGAAATCAAAACATGTTAAACAACGAAATAGTGATTTCTTAGCTTTTATTTTATGTTTTTTTATAACATATATAGTGTGAATAATAAAACAATAATGATTTCTATTTAACAATGAAGTGATACCAATTGCAATTGAGAAAATTGATATCTATATTTCACTCCCATCTGGAGATATATTTTGTCACTCGATTCTATAGACTTCTTTTATCAGCTCGATGTTTTCAACTACTTGTGGTCAACTGTCGCACACAAAATGTATCTAAGAAAAGGAAAGACGAATCACACAACAGGCAGAGAGACAAACAGACTGGATCTAAAAAAACATGTGTTCAAACTAGTATGCATCCAACAACTTCTCTCTTATACCGAGTTTGAATCGCCAGTTCGAGTCTCCTAGGGCCATTGGATATCTTCCATTTTTCTTGGCTATTATCTTCAAGGATCCCATGGGATTAGGCAAGGTGCATGCGAACTGGTCAGATCACCCAGAGTTACCAGAAAACAAAAGCAAAATTGCATCAAGGTTGGCCTTCTTTTATTGCAATGTCAACATTTCTGATGTCTCATTCTACAGTCATTCGGAGTCTGAGTACTCGAAAGCTGGAATTTGGCGAAAACGAGCCAAGGATCTGAGATAAGAGTTCTCTTTGCTGTTTGGGTTAGTTGATCTCCTCTTCTTTTTGGTAAAACCTTGCCCAGAGGTTAAATCATAAAGCATTCCCATGCTCTTTTTCTCTTTAATGTTGCTACCGTCATTCAAATACCTACAAATAGTTTTCAAGGAAGATATAAGGGGAGATTGATCATAGAGATGCTAGATAAACCTCGATATAAACGGAAGGAGGAAGAGATGGATTGAACATAAACCATACAACCATACCAAGTATACGAAGAACAACACTATGAATTCTTGATTTATTTAAATTTGAAAAGCAATAAAGCCTTACTGTTCACGAATAATCTTATAAGCCTCTTTTGTTGCATATGGCAAGCCAGTTTTAGGATCACGGTATCTGTCATAAATAAATGAACAGCAAATTATTGACTGATCAAACGACAATGAGGTATGATATGAAGCAGTGGTGTCAATATAACAATAAACTGTAAATAGTTTTTACCGAAATATATTGCACCAAAATGGTTTTTAGGAAGTAACTGATAACATTATGTAACATAGTTGATAAAGGAACGTTAATGAAGTGGCGCCTCCAGCCATAAAAACTGTAGAAATTGACTCTAGCCGTAATCTAGTAAATATGTTTTGATCGTTCAATAGATGTTCAAAATACCCTTGATCCGACAAAATTGGAAACTTCATGGACCAAAATCAACACCATATCTTGTAGTGGTGACTGGGCAAATTTTCTTTTTAGCTGTGAAATTTTCCCTTAGAAGGAAATTGTTGCAATTAATGTGGAACGGACCAGTATGCAAATTTTAACAAGACTGGGAGTAGTGTGAAATTGAAGAAGAATCCAACATAACAAATTCTAATCTAAAAGAAACAATGAAAGTGGGAATGAATCAGCAACTGTATTTAATTTCAACTAAAATGTCGATTGTTAATAATGAAGCCCACAAATAGCTATCTTTGGGTGGATTTCCCCAAACCAAGTGGCCATTGACCAACGGTATACGCGGTTCTCTAGGATTCTTAGGTGGTGGCATCGGACCACTTTAAAGATATCAATGTATTGGTTTATTCCCATTTCAGAAAAAGAAAAGAAAACACAACTAGAAATAAAGAAGACGGCCAGAAGCTTACTTTGCAGGTAGTCCAGTAACCACGCATACAGCCTTCTTCGGATCTAGAAAGGATATAAAATATATATTAAAACTAATTTTTTTTAAAAATAAGAGAAAGGGGAAAGCAGAGGCCTTAAGGTGGTTCCTACTAAAAGAACAGCAAAAGCAGCTTGCATCCAGATTCAATTATTTGCAATTAACCCGTTAAGAATTTATCATGATGTGAACCCAAAACAGATAAATATTGCTATACTGAAATTTAGCAAGAAAGTATCCACTTTTGATTCAGTTTAATACTTAAAAAAATTTCACATAACCAAGGCATCCACCACACCAAATTAATCAAAAAACTTCATTAAAACAACAAACTGAAAAGGGAAAAGCCACCACTTGTCAAAGTTGATCTCATTATTTATTTTGCAGTGCATCAATCCTTTTGTAAGGAAAATAGATCATCTCTGATATCTAATAGATGACCGGAAAACTAGTATAACTAGGGTTATAAAAAATGATCTGACTGCAATTTTGGCCAGTTAACAATGAGGAGGAGCATAAAAACCAAAGAATTTGAGTCTACTAACATGAGTCACCAAATTCCCAGAGGAAGCAGAAGAAGAAAGGGGCTCATACGCTCTGTTCTGATATAGCATTTCTAGTTCAATGAACTTCCTTGGGGACCAGATTTATCACAGGAAGTGGATATAATATTGCACAAATATGAGGTTCCTATAAGCCTATTCAAAAACAAGTAAAGCTCTTCATAATACAACTTGGTGAACCACAATCCAAGACTATCTAAACATGGAAGCAAAATTTCATCTAACAAACACCAGAATATGGTATAGCAGTTATGCTGGCGAACCGCCAAAACAGAAATGCTATTTGACGATAAATCTGTATGTGCAATCAGCATAGAATAATTTTATGACTACTCACATGGAGTGGCCGATGTAGGAATCTGTGATTGAAATGACATCCCATTAGTAAATTCAAGGTATGAGTAACCTGAAATAAATGTTATCATTAGCTTAACATATTCAAAAGGTGTTGTATACCTAAGCCCTATAGATAAGACAATTTTTAGAGCTAGAAGAATGCTGATGCTAAAACAGAAGAATAACTTCTGATATCTGATGTAAAGGCATTGATAATTTATCAAGAAACTTGCCATCTTTAGAAAGATATCGTATCTGAGGGCCACTATAGACTGCTTTATGGACAATTGCTCTTTTTTTAACTTCTTCCTCCCTTGCTAAGACCCGTTCCAAGTTTCTTAAGTTCATAATTTCTGCAAGATTTATCCACACATTTTATGCTCATAAAAGTAAAAATTGTACAATTGCATCATTCTAAAACCAAGGAACACAAATTTGTGTGCTAAACCTGTTTGAGCAGCCTCAAGAAGCATCTCTTCTTGAGTCATCCTCTTCTCCTCACCTTCCTTTTTCCTTTTTATTGGCTAAGAAGTCATAAGATCCAGCATCAAGAAAGACATAGATAGTCGATTATAACAGCAAGATGAAGATGTATTGAATCAAGACAGAGAATGAAGAGGAAAAAGAAAATCAAATGTAACATTCTTTTAATATTTCTAGACAATCCAAGCTTGAACAAGTGAAAATGTTAATATATCATATCCAGCATTAAGGAACGGCTATATGGTCAATCAAGAATAGCATGATGAAGAATATACTCAAGATAGAGAATGACGGAAAAGAAAATTAAATAAACCCGAAATAGGATGCAACTGCAACTTTTTAAAAGACACATGATGATGCTAAATTTCATATCAAAGTAACATTCTTCTAACATTTCTAGACAATCCAAGGTTGAACAAGAATTTTGCATTGAGTCGTGGCATTTTAATAAAATCCAATTATGGAAATTGTAACTGAATCGATAAATAACATTGATATCCCCGAGATCACATGCCTCTTGAAGTTCTTAGGCACCACAAAACAATAATTATATCCATGACCCAACTTTACTAAATTCTTAACTAGAAGCCTACAACAAAGCCTTCATACCAAATTTGTTGACGCAGCTGAAATTTAACATTTAAGTGAACTCAATAAGATTAACGGCATAATAGAATTTTTCATGATAAATTTGTAAAAAGCAAAAAGTAAAGGACAATAAATCTTGATCAACCTTCATTGTTGCTTGCAGTGATGCACGTATTGCATCTCTTTCAGCTTGCCTAACAATAACTGAAGTTCGTGTCGACTTTCTAGTTGTTTTTTCTACTTCGATATCATCAGGCACGTCATGATCTTCTTGGGGTGTTGACTGCTCAGGATTCGTCCCTTCATCATTAGAACTATCGCCTTCTGAAACAACTTTCTTCTTCTTCTTTTTCTTTGGCAATTGCTTTCCTGGAAATGCCAATCTCTTCTTTGGCCGCTTCCTGCAAGAAAACTTGCATCTTGAGGACACCTAGTTATACGTTCAAGATTCCTTTTTTTTTATTTTCAAAATTTATATCCACTATAAGTTTAACCTGTCATCTGGCTCATTTTCTGCTTCTTCCTCTGGCTCGGGTTCCTGTAGTCAAAGCAAGTAATTTGGTCATAAAATCATCCAATCACAATCTTCATAAAGGCTGCATTCTAAGCAATGTAAACATTCATTTGGCAGATAGATAATCAAATGATGGTGAACCACATCACACATACATCTTCATCGAAATCACTGTCAAAAACATCAGCGACCTCTGCTTCTTCTACATAGTTTGTATCATCTTCTTCCTGAAAAGAAAGCAACACATTTACATGTCAGGAAATTTGAACAAAGCGAAAATGAAACACAATTATCACCTCATAGTCACTGCCCAAAACAACTGCTACACACCTTTTCTCAATTCTTTATTAATATCGAACTTAAATCATCTATGAAATTTGATGATGGAAAAACATATTAGAAGATAAAATACAGAATTACTTATACAAGTGTTTCAAGAATTCTTTCTATCATTTGATCGATGCTTCAGATAAGAAGTGGTAGGAATTTGGGGAATTTGGAGAACTTTTGTATATCTTCTGATCTTATCATAAATTTAGGCTTTCCTACTGGACATTTTCAATAATTCAAAATTTTCATATTTTCAAAGACCTCCTGACTTTTCATTGCAAACAAAACCGTCATTAGTTCAAAAAATGCAAAAGAAAAGACGCTACACTCTGCAAGATTGAGTGATATTGGACAAACTGCAAATCACCTTTTTTAATGCGGTTACATCTCTATTGTGTATCCAAACTCGTTCATTCTTGCAAGCCACATACTATTCTTTTTGATGTTACTTTGCAACAAAAAGACAAGTACGATGGCTTGAAAAGTCAATAGCTCTATTTCCAATAAATTGATGTTCTAAACCTTATTACATGCAATGTCTCTGCTTTAGCAAAAAATGTAAGCTAAAATTACCTATTTCCCTATTCTAATCATGATGATGATTGTACTCCACAAGATTCTCCCTTATTATGTTATTCAATGGTATTTTAGACATTTGATCATAGTCGAACACCAACCACTTCTATTAAACTACTTCAAATCAATCATTGCAACCTTGGGGATGAACAAAGGTAATTAAGACTCCATATTCTTTCATATACTGTTACCTGTCTTGTACATAATCAAATACCTCAAGGAAATGTGAACCTGATTTAACCAAGTAGTTAAGTAGTATTTGTTTTCATTGTATAACATTTTCATATTGTAACCCCCATCTATATGGCTTGTTTCTCAATCATAAAAAGTAAAAGTAGGAGCCACAAAATGAAAACTTGATGATGGAAAAAATGGTGCAACCAAAAGAATAAGTTTCTTGTCAATAGCTCATTACCTCTTTCAAAGCATCTTGGTTCCAGAATTCGTCATCTTCTTCAACCTCCTCGTCAACCAACTTGCTCATCCTACAAAGACGATTAACATCCATAATCATCAAGTTAAAATTCTACTAGAAGCACCAATCCAGTGTTCCTTGGTACTAAAACAAAATGCGTTTTTAAGATTCACTGCTTACCGTTTCCCTCTCGTTGCCCTAGAAGCTCGGTCGAGAAAAACGACATCTTCTTTATCAGACTCCATGAACTCAATCAATAAAACCTTATGTTGTAGAACAAAAATGGCTTTCTTGAACACCCTAATAGAATCTGAAAATACCCCCTACCGTAAGACAACAGATAAATTGTAGGAACACGTTACATATATAAACTGAGCGACGCCTGAAAAGCTTTCCCCCAGTTCGAGTACAGAGAGAATACAAGTTACCAAATTCGTCTAATTTGAATGCGAAACAGTCTTAGCCCTTAGCAAGCCCTAGTGAAATTTAACTTGTTTGTCTTTCAAAACATGCGCTTGATCGAGATGGTACAGTAAAGGAAAAAAGAACGAGATCGACGAGCGGAGAAGAATCGGAAGCAATGGTGAAGACTGAAGAGGGGAAATTGTTATGTTGTCGAGTTCGGCAACAGACAAAAATAACCTTCCAAAACTTTCTCTTTAACCGGTTCTTTGGTTGGTTGATAGGGTCGAACATATTTGAACAACTTAATCTAATACTTATGATTTGAAAAATCTTAACTTAACTCAACCCAAACCAACTCGTACATTTTGGTGTATTAAAATATTCTAACATTTAATATGTTATTCTCTATTCATATTTTTTTTCATCATCAATCATTTGATACAACTTATCTATATTTCTTACATATATCACATTCAGTTAATTTTCTCAATTTACATATATATGTTCACAGTTACTGAATATATATACGAATGAGTTATATAGAGATGTGACTAGATTGAAAATATGTGTATATGAAAAGCATACATGATAGTGTAATTGTCTAATGTATATATTAATATAAATTCAACAATYATATTAAATCCAATAAATAAAAGGATATCGGGTTCATCGGGTTGGGGTGAGTTCAAATAATAGTAACCCAATATCAACCTAATATTTACGGTTTGACAATTTTACAACTCGATTAGACATTAAATTGCTTCAGGTTGGATTGATCGGTTTTTTGAGCACCCATACTTTTAACAATACATCCCCACGGTTCTAACTTTATTCCCTAAATCATAACATCATACATCAGCAAGAAGAACACGTAACAGGAAGAAGAAGTGAAGGAATGGTAACATAATCAATTAATAAATATTTACAGAAATAGCTATTAAAATTGTATATATAATATTTTCAATAAATTTTCTAAAAGAATTAAAAGTCAAAATTATTTTCATTCGATTCTCCATTTTAAACAATACAATTAATAAATATTTTTTTCTTTGACGATTTTTAGTTTGTAGGTTTCTTTTCTAATATTTGGTATCGGTAGAGAAGATGTTCAAAATCTCCGTTTTGGGAGATCTGCTGAATATGCTTAAAAAATGATATCATGGTGATTTGACGTAGGTTGTTCGCAGGCCCGGGCAGCGGCAGGGGTGACGGGCTTCCCCACATCAACCTGCAATATCTTGGGGTTGGTTGCGTTGTCTCCTTTTTCGACCGCTCATTGAATCTTGATTGCTCTTCTGAATCTCGTCTCGTAATATGTTTCATATTTACAGATATTGAAGTAAAGTTATCTGGATATTGATGTACAACACACTCGTTGGTAGTGTTGATTTTGTTGTTAAATCCATATAGACTCTTGATTTTGGAGAGTGATAAGTTCGATAGGAAATGAAGTCATTGAGTCATTGATTTAGTATTATTAGTTGTTATGTTAAATGGAATGTGTTTATGTGTCTGTGTGCTTGCTTCTTAGGAGGTAACTAACACCAAAATTGGGACCTTATGTGTTATCTGTTTTGATGTTAAAAATTAAAAACATTTGAACTTTAAAAAACAATACGACTAATAATTTTTCGATGGAGGTAATTTCATATGTTATATGCTAAATTACTTGCAGATTGTTCAATCCCTACAACTGAATCAGGGACCCATACAACTCATTGGTGCATCCATTCTTGAGTTTCTGTAGCAAATGAACCAAATCAGTATGTCAATAGAGAGTGACAAAAGGGAGAGAGGTTGGTGAATACTCATGGTCTTCCTTTATTTGTTCCTTTGCTCTGTTACTACATTGGTTACTCAAGTTCATGGGAAGTTCAAACAGGTTAGCCCCAAAATTACGTGATTATGTTTTAGCATTATTCACTGTACTAATTTCCTGTTTTTAGTTCTTGTTTTCTTCTTTTTGTTGACTACAAGCAGCTGAAACTTAGATTATGATGTCATGAATATTGATTATAGATATTAAGGAACCAATAGCAAAAATCAAGGATTGGATCAGCACTAGATTATCTTGCTTGTTCTTTAACTATAGGGCAAAGTGTCCGTAACCCATTTTTTAACTTGGTATATATCCTGTTTTTTGTTGTATAGGTTATACAAGCATCGATTGTGGGTTGCTAAAAAATATGAACTATTTGGATCCTCTTACAGGTTTAAGCTAAGCATTGGAGCCTATAGGAACATTTCCTCGTATCATTTTCATGTTCTATTTGTTTTTCTTTAAGTTGGACTTGGGCATTATTCTTTTCTTCGTCTCGGGCGCAAAACCCACCTGGACCGGCCCTGATTGTTTGATAACCAAGGGCATATTTGGCACAGCATAAACTAGTTTATGGTACTGAGCTTGTCCAAAAAGCGTAAGCTAGCTTTTTTCAAGCACTATAGAGGATGCCGTTTCAATAAGCTAGCTTATTAGCTAATTATGCCAAACAAAGTCCAAAGCAAGCAGGACAAAAAGGATTCAAGTGACCAAATTGAACATTTTAAAATAATTAAATACATTTTGCTCTTATTAGTAGTCAATAATGTTTAAAGATATTTTTGTGCATTAAAAACATATTTTAATAACTAAGGTTTAAGATTTTGATTCGAAATTGCATTAGCAGTTGGTCTCATGTATAATGAAATAGCAAAAATCAAGGATTGAATCTTTCGTCAGGTGGCTTACTTGGTTCCTTGTCTCCTTCCATCGGAAATCTAAGCTTTCTCAGGGAGATTTGGATCTTTCCGGTCAAATTCCACCTGAAGTTGGCTGTCTCTTTAGATTATGAATACTATGTCTCCATAACAACACTTTTCAGGGAAACATTCCGGCTATCTTATCCAATTGCTCCAACCTCCAAGACCTTCACTTGGGTTACAATAGACTAGTTGGAAAGATCCCAGATGACCTTGGTTCACTCTCCATGCTAAGCACACTTATCATCCACAGGAACTACTTCGAAGGTGGGAATGTGGGATTCCACCATTTATAAGAAATCTCACATTGCTTAACACTCTTTCGCTTGCTAACTGGGGACTGGTTCCAGACTTCTTTCATCGGCTGAGTAGCCTGAGAAGAATCGCATTGCCTGGAAATGATCTTGTTGGTACCATCCCTCCTTCTCTTTATGGTCTTTCGTCTTTAGAAGAACTATATCTTGATTATAATAAGCTCACTGGTAGACTACCCTCAAACTTAGGTTTGATTCTGCCTCGTCTTCGGATACTTTCTTTGAACGATAACCAATTGACAGGTCCCCTTCCGCCATCCGTTCTCAGTTCTTCAGCATTAGAAATCTTAGATGTAACTCAAAACAGTTTATCTGTAAAAGTAGTAATCACTTCTCGCGAAGCTTGTAATCTCAGTCTCTTGTTATTAAGTTAAAATTATTTTGGAAGTGGAGAAGATGATGAAAAGAAGTTCATAGATGCTTTGTCGTTTTGCAGCAAGTTAGAAGTGTTAGATATTGGGAACAATCAGATGAGAGGTTTCCTGCCGGAATCTCTATGGAATTTGTCGACTAACCTATCTTTTCTGAGCCTTGCTTCAAATGCTTTTTCTGGTGACGTTCCTTCATCGGTAGGTAATCTTTCCAGCCTAACTTCTCTAGACCTGTCTAGTAATCAAGTCACAGGCACAATTCCGGCGAACATTGGCAATCTTAAAATTTAAGAACACTAGATCTTAAGCGAAATTATTTCTCAGGGAACATTCCTGGTTCTTTAGGAAATATATCATCCTTGATCGAACTCCACCTGGGCTTGAATGGTACCATACCATCAAGTTTAGGGAAGTGCACAGGGTTAACGCTTGATCAAAATAACCTTACAGGAGAGAAACCTAGGCAGCTATTCGAACTCTCATCTCTATCCATTAGCCTGAATCTGGGTAATAACCACTTCACTGGACAACTTCCCCCAGAGGTTGGCAACCTTATGAGTTCCAAGAAGCCTTGGCCGCTGCAGCAAACTTGAGAATCTAGACATAAGCAACAACTTCTTTCCAGGGCCGTCCAGGGGAAGGCGACACTGGCGCATGCCCATGGCCCAAAAATATCAGGGGCCCAAAATTTTTCCCTAAACTATAATAATAGTCTAAAAGATTTTAATAAATTAAAGAAATCCAAAAATTGTAACATATAATTAGAGACAAAAAGAATTTAGTAGAAAATAAGGGCTTAAAAATATATCAACTAATTACATTGGAGAAGAAAAAAATTAATTGGTCATTCATTATATGCTATTGTTTATTTCCTCTCTACTTTTTTTTATCTCCAACAAGGTCCAATGATATTGGTTATTGTTATCTCTAAAAACTTGACTGTTTTCGTACTTCAATAATTCAAAGTTAAGATCATGCGCTTGCTATTGCTATATATATTTTTTGGATATTTTATCAATTTATGCTTTTATTGACTATTGCTATTTGGTTATCTTGTTCTAATTATTTTTATCGACTATTGTTATCTATTTTTGCTTCTACATAAAATATTTTACTATTATTTGACAATCAATCTATTGTTCTTATAATTTTTGACTTGTTTCATGGTTTTGTGATTAATCAATAAATTTTTTTACTAGATGTATTTAGTAATGTCTCTTACATATGTCATGTTCCATAAAATTTTAATCTTAACCACAAGGGTGGTGCCTGATTGGTTTGAGTTTGGCTCCAAATGTCAAAAGTACCAGGAGGTCTCAGGTTCAAATCCAAGAAGGAATAAAAATCCTCTTGTGGCTACGGAGGTTCAAATGCGGTGACTCCGGGCTATTTGCAAAGCAGGTGGTCGTCCTGGGATTAGTCGGCTCGCATAGCGGATTGGATATCCAGGTTAATAAAAAAAAATCTTAATATCTTATTTTGGTTGAGCAAAAAAAAAAGGAAAATATAATTTAAATGTTTTCATCGATTGTTTGACTTATGTATCTTTCATTGAGATTCCACCACACCATAAAATTCTATTTAAGTGTTCAAACAATCATTTGTTGAGCTTGTATATCATATGTTAATTTCATTATTTATTCTTATTGGATCTCAATGGATCATTTTTTTTTCTTTTATATTTTTATTGATCCTCATTTGTTTATTTGTCAAGAAAACCTTGATAATCTTCTTTATTATTGATCTCTCATTGACTCTAATGATTACTTCATTCACACGAATTATCTTTTTATATCAAAA